GTAGGTAGGTCGGTGGGTAGGTCGGTGGGTAGGTGGGTCGGTAGGAGGCACAGAGGTGGATTGGTTGATGTGGTTTGCCGACAAGCAGTAGTCTTGTTATTGCCGCTTCCCGGCTGATGCAGGATTTGAGCCTGGGTTCAAAATATCACTGCCCGCCTCAATGTTGCGGTCGTAACTTATACTGCTGACGGAGAAGGTTTATCGCTCGTTGTTCTCGCATTTGCGGAGCTTGAATCTGAAAGTCCGAAAGCTTCCGGAATCAGTATCCTTGCTTGCAGGTGCGCACTTCTTTGAAGCCTTCCGCCACCTCAGCCAGGTGAGGCGGCGAAAGTACGACTGGTGCCTTTGATCTGAAGCAGGACTCTTCCTAGAAGCCGGCCGGGAGTTCTGTAGGACCCTTTAGCGTGTGACAGCTTGTGGTGTTGATGGAACTCCAGGTTCTTCGTCGTCCGTGAGCCGGTCGACCGTTTTCTCGCATTCTACGCCTGCTGCTCCCGAGGACCGCGTGAAGCTTAAGCACATGGTATGTTGTCCAGATTCGAGCTCGAATCAATGCTTGCACACAGAAAGAAACACACTCCCAAAAATCCTCCGATGGTGATTCCTGTGGGCACAAGAACGCAGCCAACTGTAGCGACTGCTACTCTGTTGTCGCCAGGCAGAAGATCATTAAATTTGACCTTGCACCCTTCGAACGTACTAGCTGGTCGTGAGCGAAGTGTATTTCCGTGCATGATGACACTAGAGCTACAGTCAAGATCGACATTGTTGTGAAGCCTGTTCGACGTGCACGCACATCCCGAGAACCCAATATCATTCCAAAACAACCCTGCTTCCGCGGGAGGGAGGCACAGAAAAAGTCACTCTAAGCCTCTAAATCCTGAACCCCTCACCCGAAACCTCAAAGGCAAGAAAACCCCAAAAGCGTGAACAAACAGTTCGTGAGAAACGAGAGCCCAATCCAGCTGTGAACCACACCGTCCGGGAGTTCAACGACTGGTTGCAAAGTCAGCTTCGGGCTGCAACCAACAAGGGCGCACCTCGGTTGCAAGAATCATGGAGCCGAATGATCAGCGATACCGTTCCATGATTGATATGCGCCCCCGAGACTCCGAAGCCTTATCCCAATAATTAGTTAGCATAGACCATTTCCATTTTCAACATGCACCCCCCCCCTTGCACCCAAACCATAACAACCTATACC